TCAGTTTGACACAGTTCTGGGTTTTGGTATGTTTAATGATTTCCATGGAAACCTGAAAGTTTTCATGTTATGTTACAGATCTTATTTAGATCTGTTCACTTGGCTATTCAGACACTACTCTGGCAGGAGAAAGGGAGTGGAACCACCACCTCATTACTGCCAGGTAGAACTAGGAGTTCAGGTTCCCCACGTGACCTCTATTGAGAGGAAGAGAAACTTGTTACCACTTGAGAGTGTATGGGATTTCGGCTCCCCACATGGTCTTCACTGACACCACAGGGCTGGAGCTAAGGGAATACTCATTACTGCCCTGTAGGGATCAAATCCCACCTCCCTAGGTGACCTTTTTGACACCATCCAAGTGATGTTGTTGAGTGCTTTGTTATAGCCTCAAGTGATTAAAGTTTAGGTTTCCCACTCAGACTTTGCTAGCACAGAGAAGCAGGAGGCTATAGTGTTGTTCCCCCATCCCACCCCTTCAGTGATATTTTGCTGTAGTAGAAAAGTTACCATTTAAAAGTTTTCTTGTTAGTCTGTCCCTTTCATGGTCTTATGACTAAAGACAGCAGGCTTATGTTGGGGGTTTTTGTGTGTGAGTGTCTGTTTCCACGTTGCTGGCTTCATCAACTCCAAGTATGGCATATATGAGAAAAAAGAGAAGCAAGGAATTCACCATCATGTCACCTTTAGGCCCTAAATTCTTCACCCTGTCTTTCTTCTTTCCATCTTTCAGTCTTCTTGTTTTCACAGTGCTTAGGGTGCTTCATCATGCTTAATAGGAGGAATAGGAAAAGTATGTATGATTCATCTTCCCAGACTGTAAATTTTGTAAGAGGTGGCACTTAAGCTATAGCAATGTCACCGGTACCTGCCAACATGCTTACCACCAGCTGACTGCCAGCTGCCAGCAACTGCACTTCTTTGCTTGGTTTCTCTGAACCAAGTTAGATACTCTGCCTTTGCCTACCAAACTAGAAGTGAGAGGGAGTAACAGCCTTCAACAAATGAGTTAAGGACATCATAAACATAAAATTATTTAGTTCTTCCCTCTTTGTTTGGGATAAATGTGAAACCTTTTGGTTTTTTTTTTAATTTACCCATGGAATTGAGGTTGAGTTGACCACAATGGAAGCTGAGAAAATGTTCAGTACCTCCCTTTTGCTTACCTGTCTCACTCCCCTACTTCCCTATGTCTTCCAAATAAAATAATTGTTTTTCTAATTTGTGTTTGAGGGTCAGTTTCTGAATGAACTAAAAAATTGTATATTAGTTCTGCCTTCCATGTTCTTTTCTTAGGAACCTGATTTTTACATAAAGGGATTTTTTTTTAAAGAACTATGTCCTCATTTTCCCCTGAATAACATGAAACAGAACAGCAATAACAATAACAACAAAAGTGGAGGTTAGGGAATCCTATAGTAGCCTTATTTCCAAAATGCATCAGCTAGCTCTGAACTAGTGTTCAGTTTAACCTTACTTATTACAAAATCAAACTGATTCAGATTGGGCCTAACACTAGTCTATCACTTATGATAACTAACCATCTACAATTCTTTCTTTTAAAGTCTTCAACTCCTTGTGCACAGGTAGTGTTGCTACAAGGTTTAGACTTTATTGAGGGGCTTTTCAAATGTGAAAAGTGAATCAAGCCTCTCCTTGACTTTACTTACTTAGATGGACTTTCTCACGAAGGGGATGTGTCTAGGCCCAGATCATCATGTCAATAATTGTCTCAAAATTGGGGCAGCATTGCTTTTAGAGAACCTGCTTAATATATTTTTCTTTACAAACTTAGATTGAACTTGAAAAGCTGGTTCTTTGAAAAAATAAATAAGATTGACAGATCCCTGGCAAACCTGACTAAAATGAGAAGAGAAAAAACCCAAATCAGTAAAATCAGAAACGCAAAAGGGGAGATAACAACAAACATCACGGAAATCCAGGAAATCATCAGAGGCTACTTTGAGAGCCTATACTCTAATAAATTTGAAAATCTTGAAGAAATGGACAGATTTCTAGAAACTTAAAACCACCCAAAACTGAACCAAGAAGATATTAATCGCCTGAATAGATCTACAACACAAAAAGAAATTGAAGCAGCAATCAAGAGTCTCCCAAAAAAAAGAAAAAGTCTAGAACCCAATGGATTCACTGCTGAATTCTATCAGACGTTTAAAGAAGAACTAATACCAACTCTCCTTTAACTGCTCCACAAAATAGAAAGGGAAGGAACACTGCCTAACTCATTCTATGAAGCCAATATTACTCTCATCCCAAAACCAGACAAAGACACCTCCAAAAAAGGAGAATTATAGGCCAATTTCCTTAATGAATATCAATGCAAAAATCCTTAATAAGATAATGGCAAACAGAATCCAACAACACATCAGAACGATCATACATCATGACCAAGTTGGCTTCATCCCAGAGATTCAGGGATGGTTCAACATACGCAAATTTATAAACGTAATACAGCACATCAATAGAAGCAAAGACAAAAACCACTTGATCATTTCAAAGATGCAGAAAAAGCCTTCGACAAGATCCAACATCACTTCATGATAAAAGCTCTAAGAAAACTAGGAATAGAAGGAATGTACTTCAACATTGTAAAGGCTATATATGACAAACCTACAGCCAACATCATACTTAATGGTGAAAAACTGAAACCATTCCCCCTAAAATCAGGAACGAGACAAGGGTGCCCACTCTCCCTACTCCTATTCAACATAGTACTAGAATTCCTAACCAGAGCAATTAGGCAAGAAGAAGAAGGAATAAAAGGAATACAAATAGGTAAAGAAACTGTCAAAATATCCCTATTTGCAGATGATATGATCTTAAAGACCCAAAAAACTCCACTCAAAGACTCTTAGACACCATAAACAGCTACAGTAAGGTGGCAGGATACAAAATCAACCTACAAAAATCATTAGCTTTTCTATACACCAATATATTCCTGAGAATGAATAATGGAATATATGGAAACAATTCCATTCACAATAGCCCCTCAAAAAATCAAATACCTAGGAGTAAATTTAACAAAAGATGTGAATGAACTCTACAAGGAGAATTACAAACTCCTGAAGAGAGAGATTGAGGAAGACTACAGAAGATGGAAAGATCTCACATGCTCACGGATCGGTAAAATCAACATAGTAAAAAATGGCTATACTACCGAAAGCAATCTACATGTTTAATGCAATTCCCATCAAAATCCCAATGACTTTCATCACAGAGCTAGAAAAATCTACTCTAAAGTTCATTTGGAAACACAAGAGACCATGAATAGCCAAGGCAATACTCAGCAAAAAAAGCAATGCTGGAGGTATCACAATACCCGACTTCAAACTATATTACAAAGCAATAGCAATGAACTTGAGAATATAAAGAATCCGTCCTCTTAAAAAAAAAACAAAAACAGACTCCATCTTCTGAACACAAGGTGCAAGTATTTGTAAATGCCTTTTATTAAGCTAACTCTTCTCAACTTTTCTTTAACTTGGGTATTCTGGTATTGGGAAGGTCTTCAGCAGTCATTTTAGTTTGACACCGTTATATTCACTTGGCATCTCTTCACTGTTGATACCAATTTGTCACTGCTGTCCTCCATATAACAGGATTGGGGACAGCAACTTTCATCTTGTCAAGTTTTGTAATTAATACACCAACAACTACAACCTGGTCTTTCAAGATTAGCATTCTCTCTCAGCTCCTCCAAGTCTCCAGTCATTATTTAATTATAAGCAAGTCACTTGCCTGCTCTGTCTCTGAATTTTTGACAACTAAGGATATTAAAATATATCTCATTTATCTTCAGGGCTGTTTTATGAGGAGCCAGTAAATCACTGTGCCTAAGAAATGCTCTGGTTCAACCTACTCATTTTACAGATGAGGAAACAGGTGTAAAGAGATGAAGGGAATCATCTGTGGTCATAATATTGGTTGATGGCAAAGCCAGACAAGTGTTCACTTTCTCCAGTTCCCAAGGCAATGGGCTGGCTTTGTTGTGTAGGTAAGTTATTTTTAAAAGTTCATATGAGAAAATGGTAAGACAGGTCAGGTTGATGAGGCCTTCCCTGGTTCAATTCCATCTCCATGTTTGTTCCCCATCCTGATTCTTTTCTAGTTGTTCACTCAGAGTATGCCCCGCTGTTTTTCCTTCTTTATGGGGAGTAGATGCCTGTAGGGATGCTGGTGGATATCTACTAAGTAGGGGGTATGGTTTACTTGTTTATGAGACTCCAACTCTAAGCAATTTAGTACAATGCTTTCTTATTTGTGGCTGGCAAATATACTGACAAATGAAGTTACCAGCAAGCTAAGATTTTTCCTCCATGGGAACCTCTGATACCTGACAAATTCAGAATCCTCATTATACCTTCACTCATACATTCTGAAACCTTCCCTCAAGGGATTCAGCTAATCAAATTCACACATTTTTTGCAACAACTTAAATATTCTATCAACTGATGTTTGCATAATGGTCTTTCCAAGTTTATAGCAATTTTCAAATTCTTACTTATTCAGTGTTCTTCTTAATGTATACAAGTCAAATGGAGCTAACACGAGGTTGTTGAGAGAATTCATGACACAAAGAAAAGCACAGTGGAAAAAAGTAAGGGTTCAAAAAATTCTGTCTTTTTAGTGGTATAATATTCCATTAAAGCTAATCAGGAGTTATTCCTGAAGTAAGAAATTGAGTTAATTCAGGAATAACTTATCTCTTCACCCCTGGTCTTCCCATTCTAATTCAGAGAATTGTGATGGTCTTTGTTGATTCTGTGATGTGTATGGGCAGAGGAGACAATGGAGGCTGTGAAGTATGTCATTATCCCCACTTTATAGATGAAGGTGCAGAAAGGTCTCGGAGGGTAAGCCTGGAACTCCATACAAAGTGAATCTCCCGGCATCCAGTGTAAGGTGCTTTGCATCCCCTCTACTGGTACCGATGCATGAACATGGTGAATAAGTAGTTCTCAACTTTCATGGTCCTTTACCTGTGTCCGAGCTCATGGGCAATGGTGAAAGCCAAAGGGAGGCCAGAGTCTTCATTGATGTTACAACTCCGGTGAGGCTGGCACATTCCTGACAGGTGAGACAGACCCAGGGTCTCACACGGACGATTCACACCAGCACAGATATCTTTTCTGAAAGCAGAGAAAAGAGATTCCTAGGCACTCAAAGAAATACATAAAAAAATCCTGGACAAATACCCAGATGTAAACTTATAGCAATGTAATCTGTAATGGCTCTTTAAAATGAAAAAGTCCATATGAATATAGGGATCAATTTTGAATTTGCTATGCTTATTTTTACTTTATGTCTTAAGTGCTGAGTTCCACTAAGACCTTTAAAATGTAAGGAAATATGAAAAATATTTTATTTTGAGTTGCTTTTGCTCTTTATCTTAGAAATCAAAATTATATGATTTGGCCAACAAAAGATTTCATTGAAAATTAAAGTTAATTTGGACTTTTAAATAGGTAAGGGACAATCAGCAGTAACTGGTTTTTTTTAAATATGAAACTTCTTTCTTGGTCTGTGCTCAAAAATCATCTGAGAATTTTTTTATTCATGAAAAATGCAGTTGGTTCTATTAATCTGTACAGAATTCAAATCAATTTTCTATCCAGTAATACTGTACACACACACACACACACACACACACACACACACACACACCTATGGCATCTGGTCTCTCTTTTTCACCAGGAACTCACTACTTCCTGATCCTGGGGAGAAAAGTAAATGCTTCTAGGCTCTCAGAGGATACCAGTTATAGCTTTTAAATATGAAAAGAGGCTCTCATAATCCCTGGCAGGAATTATTTCGATCACTGACAAGTGTTTTGAGAGAGCCATTAATTGTCATTGATTTTCTTCAGTACAAGAAGAAAATCCTGGCCAACAGCTCTTGACTAGCACAAATGCCAATGATGTTCTCAGCTTTTAATTAGTTGTAAACTTTAGCTCATGGGGTTTGTGTGAGCATCATTTTTAGCTCCCTTTGGTCTCTTGCTTTTTTGTGTCCCTTGGACTATGGAAAAGATACATGCTTGGGAACCTGTGTGAGTTTTCATTTCTCCAGGTGGCAATGGGTGGGACTAAGAAAGAGCAGCCCCAATCTCGTCACAAGCACCAAAAGTATCGATCCTGCTCTTTCTGGGTAGTTCAGTGTTGGATAGCGAGACTGTACAACCCATGTAAACATTTTCTGTAGGAGGACTAATCACATACATTTCCACCTCTGCTGTAGGATGTGCTTATTATTATTTCAGGGCTTCAGGGGGTTGCTGGAAAAAGATGAAAGGCACTCATTGCTAATTCACTGACTTTATCGGCTTGGTATGGAAGGATATCTGTTAAATAATTGTTTGTAGAGTGCCTACTAAGTGTCTAGCACTGAAGAGGGGGAAAGGAAGTAAGAAAAGAATTGGAGGAATGGGATTCTTGAGGGCAAGGAGCTTCATCATCCTTTTAAAAGAGATTAACTCTACCTCCATCATGCCCTGGGGACATTCTATAAGAACAAATATCCATCAGAATGCTGCCCATGTGGGATGCCCATGGGGTGTGGTTCAAGCCAAATCCTTGTTCTACCGAATGCAGCTCTATGGAGAGTTCTGCTTCTGTGGGTCTCAGAATAGCTCCCCAGTGGCACCGCTCAGTCTAGTGCCTCCTTCCCTACCTGATTTGATCCGGTTTTTTTGTTTGTTTGTTTTCAGACCAGTGGTTTTCAATGTAGGTCAGGATGGAGTGAGGAGTGGAGCATGATTTTTCTCTTTACCTCTTCCTAACTGACATTTGACAACGTCTGAGATGATGTCGTTTGGAGGAGAGTGCTAATGGAATCTTATGAGTAGAAGTTGGAAATGTTAAATAAATATGATGCACAGAATAACCCCTACAACAATTATCCTGCCACAAAGGGCAACAGTACTGAGGTGGAGAACTTCAGGACTTGATATTCTCAGCACTGTGTAAGAAGGCCTTGGGTATGTGTTGTCTCTGTGGAGGACAGGCTACCCCTGAATACTTTGTCCCTGTCATCTGAGTCTTTAACAGGATATCCCAGTGTATAGGATACCTATGAAGGACAATAATGATTCCCTACCATATCCAAATCTCTGCCTTTCAGTGGTCTGAAACTTCAATCACCAGAATCACTCCTTCGAATGAAAGTATTAAAACCTGGTCAAATATGGTCCAAGGGAAGCCCTTGGCATAAACCTATAAATGTAGGTTCATTAGGATCAATGACCCCTTTGGTTGATGAGTAGCACCCCTGGTTCTGTGTGGCTGAGGGCAGGGCCAAGGAACCTCCTTGACAATACCTCCTTAGATTTCTGGATACCTCTGAATCTGCATTGAGTGCCAAATGAGAACTAACCCTTCTTATAATGTAAGCCCTTCTTTTGTCTAGATAAAACAATGCCTGGTACATAGCAGGTACTCAATAAACTGAGTCAATTAGCAAACATAGACTTCAAAGAACTTAAGTCGATCAGGGAATTTCACTGGATTTTTCAGTTATAGGTCCTGGAAGGTTTGATGGGTTTTTTCTTTTTTTAGCACCATAGGATCTATCTGTGATTAAAAAAAAAAAAACCATAACTTAATAGGGGCAAAAAGGGAAAAGGGTGTAACTAAACCATTCTGTTTACCCAGGGGAGAATGTACTCTCCATATCCTGGAATTAGTTAGGAATGGGTTAAAAATAAGTGGATTTCTATAAAGACAGTTGCATGTTATAAATTGTAGAAAAGTTTTTAAGAAATAAGAATAAAGGGTTGGAAATCCCACTAGTTAAGAGTTAAAAAGAATTCCCAATAAGGATCTGCAAACAACTTCTTAGTTGTTTACAGAAGTATCTGAAGAAGCCAGTTTTATGGATGAAATCTTTGTGATAGGAAAGAGGCCTGTATTTTGCTGTCAGGTACAGCTTATCAGCAAAGGGAACTTGTTCATATTAGTGAGTGTGCTGACCTGTCCCCTCCACTGATCTGAGAGTCCGGAGCTGACTAGACCACAATTGCTGCGTGTACAAATGACCAAGAGCAGCAAAGAGTAGTAGTAACCTTTAACGTGAATACCCGGCAAGCCTTTCAGCTGCCAGTCCTCCCTAACTTGCTGCCCTTAGGCTCCAAGTAGTCTCTGAGGTACCTGGTGAGAAGAACAGCAACATCGTGATGGACAGGGTTAAGATCACTCTTGGGATTGATGCTCTTCTGCCACTTGCAAAAGCTGGACAGTGTCTTCTCTGCATGGTGAACTATTTTCAGTCCTTGCTGGAGAAAGAAGAGGAAGAGATATGTGTGGGTGAGATCACTATGGTCAGGGATCATTGCATTAAGTATTAGTCCCTAAAAGCATTTAAGAGAGATAATCTCAGGCTGGATACATCAAACATTTGGAAGGAATTTTGCCAGTGTACTCCTCTGGACTAACCCTCAGCTCTAAACACTATCACTCTCATTACTTCCATTAAAAGGACCTGGAAGGGAGAACTCCAGGACAGAAATTATCAGCAGGACAAACAGTCCTTGAAGAGAAATTAAAAATATATTAGCAATACCAATAAGTGTTTGGAGTTCTATTTCTAGTGGTTCTCTGAAACCTAAGCCAATATGATTCTAAGGGGTATTTCAGTTTCTAATGGAAAATAAATAGATTTTCAAAAGAAAGTTTCCTTTCCTCATGAGGTATCCTGAAATGCTGGGGTTTCACTGTATGTTTTCTTGCCCATGGTTTTCATCTTGCTTTACTACCTATGGGTGGAGGGCAGAGAGTGATATAAATTCTCCAGGCTTTGACCACTTGGGATGTTGGTTCATCTGTCAACAATTAGGATCCTATTGTACATGCCCTTTGCTTGCACTTTCAAGGTCTTCCAAGGTCCATTGCAGCCCCCCAGTCATTCATCTGGCCCACAGCTATTACCGAGGATGGGAATGGAGGGATTATTTCATATTAGCCAGATGAGCATGTATCAAGCAGGGAGAAGGAAAAGACATAATTAGTTCTAGATGGACCCCAGCTAAATTTGAATTTGTAAAGGAGAAATTACTTTCCCTTTTCCCAGCTCTTTGTGGCATCTGCATACAGCTGTCTCTGGGACAAGGCAGATTCTTCTAGGAAGATGACCATCTCTATTGGCCACTCTCAGCTGAGACTACTACTCTAGGCTCCACCAAGAACTCTGCATCAAGCTATGATCTTGCTTCCCTAATATTCTGTATTTTCTGAGTCTCACAACCAAATCAAACAAGGCTCAGGGGGCCTGAGTTGTCTGTGGAGGCATGCCCCGTTCTCCCTGCTCACGCTCATTAACTAGCACAGACCACCTTCATGTCATGAAAATGCAGACTCATAAAGAACTAAATAGAAAAAACAGACCTCCTTATTTAATGATCCTTATTGCTATATCATCCAACAGAGTGGTATAAGGCAAAGGATGTGAAGGAGTCCTGGGGGACAAGTAAGACACAGAGAAGCTGGGATCTGGTTCAACCAGCCAAGCTGTAGCTAGATGGGGATCCTCCCTAGATGGAAGCATATGGTGCTCTCCCATTATAAAGGACTGGCCAGGTGGCATGAATCAGGAAGGGGAAGTGTAAAGAAAAGAGAGACAATGAAAGGAAGAAAGGAGACTGCTTAATATGTGCTAAATACTTTTATATATGTTATCTAATTTAATTTAATTTCATCTACTCAGAATTATTTTTAATGACAGCATTGCTATGTTCACTTTCTAATAAAAGGAAATTAAAGTTCAGAGATGTGAAAAACTAATTTAAGATTACTCAGCTTAGATACTAAATACAAAAATCTGAGAATAAAGTTTCCTAGATAAAGCCTGTGGTTTTGGTCACCAGCCTCACTGGATATCACCTCAGTTCTATTTCCTATCCTTCTTCAGATAAGAAGGTGAATTATAAAATAAAACACCAACTATGACCAAATGTTTCAGGTCTTCTTTTTCTTTTTCTTTTTTTTTTTAGTATTGGTGATCAAACCCAGAACCACATGGTAGGCAAGTACTTCATTGGACTATCCCCCCAGCCTTTAGATCTCTTTTTAAACTTACATTTTTTGGGGGAGGGGGATGTGTTCTTTGAGAGACACTCATTAATTTAAAATAACATTACCATTTATAATTGTTTCAAAGCAGTGAAATTCTCAGGAATAAGATTAACAAAACATGTACAGAATTTGTACCCTGAAAATTGCAAAATGCTGATAAAAGGAATCAAAAATCAAAATAAATAGACATATCATTTCATGAATTCAAAGTTTCATCTTAGTAAATATTCCCATTCTCCCCAAACTGATCTATAGCTTTATGGTAATTCCTACCAAACTCTTGGCAAGGGCTTTTATAGATATCACAAACACATTCTAAAATTTATAGGCAGGTCTTAGATTGGCTAAAACAATTCTAAAAAAAAGAAAAAGAAAATGAAATTAATCACTCTACCTGATACTAAGGTTTACTGTGTAGCTACAATAACCAAGATAGTGCAAAATAGGTGCAGAGATAGATTCACAGATAAGCAGAGCAAAGAACCCAAAAGCTGATGACTCAAATATGCCTAATCAACTTTTGACAAAGATAAGAAAACAATTCATGGAATGGAAGATGGCCCTTTCAATAAGTTTTGCTGGACAGCAAGAAAACAAATAAGCCAATTTTAAAAAATAGGGGAAATGTGAATAGACATTTCTCAAAAGAAGACACATAAATGGTCAATAGGTATATTAAAAATATTCAACATTGCTAACCACTAGGGAAGTACAAATTAAACTCACGAAGAGATGTGACCTCACACCCGTTAGAAAGGCTATTGTCAAAATGACAAAAGATTCATAAAATCTTGGTGTTTGGGATGCAGCTCAGTGGTAGAGTGCTTGCTTAGCATGCATGAGGCCCTGGGTTTGATCCCCAGCAATGAAAAAAAAGTGTGTAAGATAATAAGCTCCAGAGAAGGGGGCAGATTTCTTTATATCCAGAACAAATAAGGTAATGAATGGCTTACTTTCAGGCAAAAAATTGGCCAAGTTTGCTTACAATCACTTTCAAGAAATAGTGTTCGCTTATGTTGGGGCTCTTCAACTGTGACAAAAAAGCCACTGTGTACACAGCATACACTTGGGCTGCTCACATCATCCCTGTTTGATGTATGGGACAAGAAGGACATATAGAAACACAAAGTTCATACCATATCCTCAGCCATAAGTAATAAAGTCTTCTGCCTCTGAGTCAAGAGTGTCATGTCTTCTGCACACATCACATCCATGAATGTGTGGCAGACTAACTGGTTTGTCTGCAAGTGGATGAAATCTCAGAACTTTCTTATTCCTTGGGAGGAATGAAGAGGAGAATGAAGAACTGGGGATCAGGCAGTAGTGAAAACCACTTCAGGTTGGACCACCTAAATATATGGGCCAGGTCTGCATGGTTGTTGAGATTTTTTAGCTGTGGGACTATTGAGAAAGGAGTAAGAAGGAAAAAGACTGAAAAGTAAAAAGAGTTTCAACAGAGGGATTGTTCTTTCATCCCAATTCTCCTGGAAGATCAATTCTGAAATAACTTGAAGGACAGTCATTGATGAAAAAAAGCATCTTTTATTCCCTGAAATCTACTCTGAAAATCTTAGTTTCTTTCTCTCCATTGCTTTTGTAGGCTCCTCTTCCAGACAAAGCAAGCACATAATTGACTGTGTTGTAAATGGTCACAGCTGGGTACTTTGTGCATGTAGAACTTTAATTTGTACTATGTGGCATTTAATGCAAGTTTGGTAAAAAGGTATTCAGGATACATATCTGCTTCTCAGTAAATATCATAGCTCTTCAAGAAGGCTTTCCTTGAGCATAATTTCTCCCCTTGTCCCTTCAGCCATCTCATCTCTCAGTCTCCCAGGAGGTTAAATACAAAAAAAGAAACAAAAAAAAAACCCACTTGTTCATTTAGTTTCTTCAATGCACTTGGTCACAGGAGCCCTGGGAAGGGTTATCAGCTATGCATTAAGATCATGGGCCCTAAGCACACACGAGATGCAAAAGGACTCCAAAGAGATTATGCTGGCTCATAATAAATATGGGAAGACTTTTGCTAAACAGTCCTGTAAAGCAAATTGATCATTCTTTGAGCTTGTAAAAACCAATTCTGTCCACAGTTTTTTCTTACTTCTTCTGCAAAAACAATAGATTTTTGCTTCTGTTCCTGTTTTCTTACCCCATCTTCTCAAGCTAGTCCAATTCTTTTCCCATTTCCCCTTTCCTATACATTTGAGTATAATTCCTTATAGGATAGGGAGCTGACCTGCAGCAAATTAGCCACAACTCACAGAAGTATCACAAATGGACATAGGAAATGATTTTGCAAGAACATGGTTTTTGTTATAAATTGTTCTTTCCTTTGTATGCTGTCCCTATAATGGAAAAATTTGCTATTGACTTCTCTGGAATTCCTAGTAGCAATGTTTGATTTGGTGCACAATATGACCAAACTCTGCTAGCTGGGGCTTAGTCTATTAGAAGAAAGATAATGGCCAAAGAAGAGACAAGCAGTAAAAAGTAAAATGTGAAAAATTCTATTGTACCTAAAGAATAAATCACCTGACTATCAAAGAAAAGCATACTTGATATTTTAAAAAGAAATAGGCTTAAAAATATTGCCATTTTAAAATTTATTCTGAAGGAGCAATAATTACAAAGGTTATTACAAACCTATACATCAGCAGAAAGGGTGAGGATAGAAACCATCAGCCTAAACTTGAATCAACAGGCTTTTAACTCCAGAGTAAATTCAACACTAAGTCATTCAGTAAACCAAGATGAAATTCTCCATGAAGTCAGCTCTACTGTTATTCCTTTAAGCCAGACTGACACCCTTGGGCTTCAGCCCTGGATGGAATAACCACGTGGGCTCCACTTGACTTTATCCAGCTCACTTGCATCCCATCTTTGTCTCTATTCTACTTTTTTCTTTTCTTTTCTTTTCTTTTTTTTTTTTGTGGTACTGGGGCTTGAACTCAGGACCTTCACCTTGAGCCAATCCATCAGCCTAATTTTTTGTGATAGGGTTTTTTGAGATAGGGTCTTGCAAACTATTTGCTGGGCTGACTTTGAACTGCGATCCTCCTGATCAATGGTTCCTGAGTAACCAGGATTACAGGTGTGAGCCACTAGTGCTTTCTCCACTTTGGGAATAAAACCCAGGACTTTTTGCATGGTAGGCAAGTGCTGCCCCTGCTCTCCTATTCTATTCTTAAAAGAAGTACCTAAC